ATGTTCAAAACATCTCAGGTTAGCATATTTTATTTTCAAATTTCTCCTTCGAGGAATCATATAACTATACATCGAATACTTATATCGAATAACTTCGTTTATCGTCCTTGTTCGCAAAAGTTTCAAGTTTCTCTAGCTTGACTCCTCTTTTATTACTTCATCGCCTGATCTCCATATGCGCGCTTGCGCGCGACCTCGTTTCCAGAAATTTATAATTCAAGCCGCGTGCGGTCCTCAGAGATCATAACAATATATCATATATTATTTCACAGTATTTAATTTTCTCTTGACATTTCCAAGTTATCAAAATCAAATCGAAGAAGCCTTACGTCATATAATGGCTCGTAATATCGAAAAATGAGCGACAATTCACGAGATAGTCGATCATCATCGCGGAGAAGGGACGAAGATGAAGCTTACTTGGCCTCTCCTCACTAAATACAACACTCCGAGATGTTAGACTCGTGGCAAATTGTCCTGCGGCTTCGTAGCGCTCTCACCGTGGAGGAATATCCCGCTCGAATAAACCGCGCGAGCGGCCATTTCTCCAAATATTATTCTATCACGCATTGCGAAACCACGTTGGTTCGCCGGCGCCGATCATCGGCATCGATTCGACGACGATACACTGTCGGAAATCGTTAATAATTTCCGAAGATCCGCGCTGCGTTCCTGACTTCTTCCCGAATTTTCTGCGCCACAGTCGCGCCTTAGTGCTCGCGCGGGAAATACCTGCTGGGCGCTTTAAGTGCACTCTCCGGAGAAGCCTCGTACCTTCTCTCTCACGAGGACGTGGCAAAATATCTCACTGTTTCGAGAGACAATATTGCCACCGCCGCCGCCGTCGCCGCATTTCCCGCCATTGTCCTCGTCTCAATAAGTCCCTCCTCGGCGTGGATGAAAATCGCAATGCCGAACGGGCAAGAGGCTAGTAACGTCGCAAAAATATTTCATCCAAGAGAAATATGCTTCTTTACATGCGCGCGGGCATAGCATTAACATTAATTATGAGCTACGCGGTGATCGCGAGGAAAATGCCATTTGCACGAGGCGGATATGCGAGCGATAGCTTCTACGCGATACGCTTTTTTCTTTCTCCCTCCTCCTGTCTCTCTTTTTTTTCATCGGATGTCAGCCGCGAAGATCGTCCAGATTTATGGACGGCAAAGCCAGCCAGGGCTACGTGACCGGGAATTCTCTCGTCCACAGAGCGATCGTGACTGGCTGCTTATTAATTGTGCAGCACGCTTAATTAACCGCTTAATTGCTCGTTGAAAAATAGAGGAGCGGCGTTTTGCTCTTCCTTTTTCTTCTTATCTTGTCGCTTTTTTTAAACGGCGTATATCTCGCTCTGTCGTAGTATATGTCGTACGACTGAAATTTCACGTGATAGTATTGTACGCTTCACTCGTCCCGTACCGTGATTTTAATCCTACTTTCGATCTGGACTTTCTAATATCTATGTATTCCAAAAGATCTTAGTGTATGTTTAATACATATGGAAATTGAAATCTTATTTAGCGTATCTATATGGTAGGAGACGTACAAAACGTCACTTGTAGGTTCTAAAAGAGGATCTCTTGACACAGATAGCAGATAAAAAAGAATAAAAAAAGGATGATGTAAGTCTCAGAATGTCAAAGCAAATAGAATATTGAGGTTAAAGGTAGGATCCACTTTTTTATTCGAATTACGGCCGAGTTTTATATATCTCTGAATAAAAAGTGTCTCCAAAAATATTAATTTTTAACAAATTTATGGTAGATCAAAGTGTGGCAAATCTAGATTATACCGTAAGTCCTAAAAAATATATGATATATTATACGGAGTATAATATATTATGCGGAGTATTAATGCACACATGGAAATATATCATAGTTTTTCTTTATATAAAATTTGTTTCAATTTTACTGTTTTTAGTAACTCACAAGAAAATAGACTGTTAGTAAGATCTATCTTGCTAAGGAAGATAGTAAATTTTATTAGAAATATTGTAGCAGATTTTGCTATAAATATAATAACTGTTTTAATAGCACATTTCAGTTTCTAAAATATAAGTAGCACGTATGAAATGAAAAAATAGAGTGAATTATTGCAGAATGTTAATTACGAAATCCTATGTTAATTTTTATTATTATTTTCCTTGTGTACTTAACGCCTCTAAGTAACACATAAAACGTGCAAAATGCAAACGTGCAAATTTGTGGGTTCTAAAGAAGATCTTTCTTGGCAAAGTTAGTAGGTTAAATAGAGTCAAAAGAAATTAATGTAGATTTCAGAACAGGCATTGAATCGAATATGAAGCTGAAAGTAAAATGAAAATTTCGACTCGGAGCATTACTTGAAAGAGACAGAGACAAACACAGAGAGAGAGAGAGAGAGACGTAGTGTACTCGGAAAATTGGTGGAAAGTAACATTTCCAGGAGAGAGAGGAAGGGAGAGAGAGAGAGTGAGACTCCTCCGATCTTCGTTCTCGCGTTTTCGCTTTCGTCTCCGTAACTTTCGCGAACGGAATTGCAGACAGACAGCAGGCAGGCAGACCGTTCGCGAGTTTGGAAATTAGAATTTCAAATGGCGAATAAGACTTTCGTTAGATATCGTGCTGTCACTTTCGCTCGGATATCCATTCACGATTCATACTGCGGATACTATTCTGTTCAGGAGTGTCGGCGAGCTATTTATAATTCACAAGCGAAGACAGTGCAACACCTGCTGTTCATTCCAGCTGCTCTATATACGGCCGTTTCGTTTTAGGGGACTTTTAGTATATTCAATGATCGAGCCGCGCGAGGCGACACATGCGCCAAATTTCTCCCTTGTATTCGTCCCGCTGTGTTTCGAAAATTCTAAAATCCGAGCGCTCTAGCGACTCGGAGCCACTGCGACACGGCCGTGACACTAACTCGCTTGATCCTGGCAAAATTGGCGTCTCGCCAAAATGTGCAAGGGCCGTGAATCTGTCGGTGGTACCGGCGCGTCGAATGGCATCGCGTGTCTGGTCAGACCGCCGCGCTATGAATGAAACGAGAGGAGCGCCAGAATTAAAGCTCGTTCCCCGAGGCGTTTTTCGGTGATTGCGCGATTTATGACCCCCTCTCCCTCCCTCGCCAATTCGGTCAATCTGCGCCGGCGAATTTTCCGCGTCGCAGGGCATCGCGGTATATACCCGTTTAACCAATCAACAGGATAAAAAACAGCGATCGCGACCTCGTCGATGGTCTGAACAAAAAATTTATCGGAGGAGCAGCATAGTTTAATTCCCTTTTCGTTTGGTTCTTCATTTTTTGCTCTTCGATCGAATCACTCTGCGAAACCATGGTCGATGGGCGAGTATGAATGTCGACAAGAGACGTCATTCTTCCAAAATATTTTATATATATTTCAGTATTTTTGTTATCCTAATTGAAAGAACACAAACTAGTTTTTTTACATTATATTGCTTATTATATTACATTGGATATTAACAGAGCATTGTTTTATTTCTTTCTTGTATTTAGTACTTCCAAAAATTGTTATCTCCTTGATAAACCATAATAAATTATATTAGGCTAGTCAAACAGCTCGATCGATTTTCTAAATGTGACTTCATTGCACCCAAAAGAACATATTCCCGTTTTTAGCGGAAAATCCGCTATCTTACATATGACTTCAAGAGGAGATTCTTCCAAAACGTTCTAAGCACAATACTCTTCAAGTTGAAAGCATTTTATCTTTTATTTAGCATTAGTAAACATATTTCTCCAAAGAGGGAGGAAAGAAACAATATTTAGAATAATAGAAAAATAGAGAAAGTTAGAATAATATTTAATTGATTAATATCCACTTCATTAAAAGAAATATACTCTTTCGATAAAAGCTTTCGTTCAGAATATAGGATTACAGGAAATAGCATCTTGCAGCTAGAACTTATTTTTTGGGAGTCTGCATTCTATTGGAAAAAAAATTATTCATCAAGCAAGTAACCGTCATTGTTACTTATAATCTTTCACCAAAGTTCTGGCAGCATATGTCTATCATAGAAAAAAAGCGGACGGTTGAGAAAGACAGAAAATCGAATCAAACATTCTGAGAGATTGGCTCAATAAGATAAAGCAGACCTAATTAAAATTAATCTACAATCAATGTGGATATCAATATCCAATAAAGAACCTGTGCGCGTTTATTATTACACAAGTCGCGCAATATATTTAACATTAGTCGTCTTAAATTCGGCGAAATTGAAAGTTTCATTTCGATTCTGCATTCTTTTTAATAATAACGCAGCAAGTCACACAAGTTTTGTTCGTGGTTTAATCATTGAAATGTATGGACGCGTCAGATGAGGTCACGGATCGATTGTTCCAACGACGGTTATACTCAATCACAATGAAGTTATAATTATGATCGTTTCAAACTCGCACTTTATACAGCGCAAAACCGCTCGATAATCGCGCTGTCGGCGACGTTGAAACGCCATGCGCCATTGTTGTTGGCGGCGGACAGACCTCTGTATCATTAGGTTTGTTCGCGTTGTTTGTACTTCTGACACTTTTGCATCCAATGTCCGTTGTACACCAGCGCGATGAACGAAATCCAATGAGAAGGGATACGTATTATGGAACTTTTCGGAATCTATTCCGATCGGAATAATTCTGTTTTCCCTAAAAGAGGCATTAGAAATCTAGAGAATAACGGAAATATTCCGATCGGAATCATGTTGAGGGTAAAAGTGTCAAAAGCGCAAGTAACACGAGCAAACCTGTTAATACGAGCGGCATCTCGCGCTTTTCCGCTGAACAAAAAATCGTCGGGCGAGAGGGACACTCTGAAATATTCCGGGCACTTAAGTAAATTCGCACACACACCCGTACGTTAGGCCGCGTTAGTAGTCGACGACATGTGCAGCGTCCACGTGGCTGTTCGTATGACTCGACGTAACTCGGCGTGAGACAAGAAAACCTCGCGACTCCTCGCGCGCATAGCTGATGGCTCGCCGTTGTCCAACTTTATGGCGCGATGACGCGACTCACCGGAGTCGATCGACAGGCGCGCTGCAAGAACACGCAGCAGCAGCAGTTACAGCACATGCTTTCGGTTGCAGGTGCACTGGTTCCAGCAGCAGCACGAGAAGAAGCGCAAGAAGCGCGACTTCGAAAGCGTGCCCTACTCGTTCGTTGGCTTCCCGCCGTTCTTCGACTTCCGGACGCGTTCGCGTCACATCGGCACGACCCAGCAGCCGCCGAGAATCCGCACGAGCTTGCCGTTCCAGAACCTATTCACGGACCCGCTCTTCAAGGAACAGTGGTACCTGGTAAGTAGTCTTGCCTTCTATTGATCGGTTCGCGTCGCCGATAGGATACGTGATGCGAATCGAAGGATCTCGCGCGCGGAATCAAGGATCATCGTTCGATCGTTCTCTTTCCCGTTTGCCTCTGTCTCGGGGTCGTCTCGGGATCTCCGGGAAAATTTAACGACGATGTGAACGCGCGGAGAAAACGCGTAGGAGAGCCGTGGCACGTTCGCAATGGCGATAGAAATGGTGCGTTGTTTGTGCGTTTTTATCGTAAAAGGAACGCTGAAAACGAAATCGCAAAATGTCCCTTTCCTCTGAGTTGCATTAAAATTGGAGAAATGTCGCAGTGGAAGAAGCGGAAAGTCTCATTTGTGAGAGAGCGGCCGGGTCTAAATTTTAGAGCGTTTCTCGAAACTTCGTGTTAACATTCCCCATTGTGAATGAATAAACTTAAGTGACGTGAGCTATTAGTTGAAATGATGTTTCCTACGAAACATGTGCGGTATACCATTTCATGCACTGAAGTAACTTTCATTCATGAGATGATTGAAATCGAAGAAGTAAGTGCGTAGGGGCTTGCATCCACAAATGAGGTTGCATTAGTACGAAGTGCTACACGAAATTACGCACGTCAACTCGCTCTGACGATGGATGTGATATAGTTTAGCACAATGACTGCATTCAGCAGAGAAAACCGCCTTGCAACTGTTGTTCGCAAAATTCGCGAATCTGATTGGTATATGCTCTTAGATCCGGCCGAGATTGAAGGCATACACCAATCGGATACACAAATTTTACGACAGCTGCAAAGTAGTTTTCTCTGCTGAACGCAGCCAATATAAAAAATAACGGATCAATGTGCTAACTCTAAAGAATCACACATTACATTAATGTAATATTGTTAAGTAAAAACAAACTAAGTCGCTATATTCTACATTTTTTTGTGCAGAAATAGTACAGATATAGACAGAAATAGTATTATTTATTATTTTTGTATACTTATTAGTTTAATTAGTTAATTATTAATATAGTTATATATTAATATGGGATTATATACAATATAGTTATATTATTAATATGATATCTATTAATATATTTATTATTAAAATATTCAACAATATTTATTACAAAGTAGTTCTAAACAATAAAGCGTCTCTCAAGCTGTGCGAGCATGGATGTATATTTTATAAACAGGAATATTTTATATGTTACGCTACCTAGTTTTGTTTGGGCTGCCCTGGGCAAGCTTACTGCTGCGCCGGGGCAGCTCGGCAATGTGATGCTGCATGTTTATATTTTGGTTATATTAAAGAAAAAATATACTACTCGTAGAAAGTCGTACCTAACATGAAAGACGCAGAAGGTCGTTTCCGCCTCTCGTCAATTGCAGCAATTAGTCGATAGAAAAGTTTGACCGCCGAAATTCCGAAAAGTTCGTCAACTTGCCCCGGTCATCCCCTTATCGCTCGAGAGGCGAGGAAATGCTCTCCTCGCGATTTTATGAGTCGCGACGAGGGATGAAAGAAACACGAGATCGTATCGTTTTACATCATTAGAAATTATAATCGCGCATTGAATTATGCGCATAAACTCGGCGCATATTTCAACACAAATAGTCGATAGCTGATATTATGCATTCATCGTATTATATGTAAAGCGGATAACACGCGGCGATAGAAACACGTTCCACGTTCGGCAACGTGTGTTATTTCACCGTCATTTCCGGCGAAACGGTACCTCCTGGCCGAAATTGTTATTAAACGCGCGATTAATAACATTGCAACCGTGATTATTACCCCTGGTTCGGTGATTCACATTCGGTGATCCACATTCGATGAGTTAAGATTTAAGCCTTAAAAATTGACCAGTCACAGTCGACTATTATAAGAATAATCTAATAGAATTAGTCAATTTTTAAGGCTTAAGTCTTAAATTATTGAATATAGACCAGAGGTAAAGAATCGGAGGAGGCTAGATGGTCTTTATTTTAGAATTTCGAAGTGACAACTTCTCAGACAACTAATTGTTGTAACTGATTATGTGCATGATAAAGGCAACCTTCTTCTATGTCTTAATGCTCGCCAGGACCTTATAAGCCGTATATTTTGTTTTGTAATTACCAAAATACGAACATCCAGCAATGTGGTCATGGTACCGGGTCAATTGTCCAGTAGCGCGGAGTAAGAAGGCCACGTATAAAATATATATCCTGCTTAGTAGTTCCAGAGTCTCCGCGAGAGATCTCCCTTCTGCCAGTCTTTAATTAGAGCCATCTTTATCTCGTTCATCATATGCTCTATTTCAATGATTTTATGAATAAAAATTACCTATATTACCAGAAACTGTACATCATACACTTGTAAGAAATTTCATTCTAGTTAGTAGCACATCGCTTAATTTTATTCAGTCACGATGGAGAATATTAACAGAAGATTTCGAAAAGCTCAGAAATTTACTTTGCTATTACTAAATTAGTCTTTTTCTATTTCTTAACTGTAATATTATTCCTATTTTAATGAAACTCAGGGAGAAATATTTATGTTCTAAAAGGATCATTTCGCGATTTTGTATTCACTATTCCTCTCAAGATAAAAAAAGGATACTAAAAAAAGCATATAAGACCATATAGTTTCTCCGAACCGTCTGATACTCCGCGACGAGTGGCACCTTGGCAGCAACGAGAAAAACGAAAAAGAACGAAACAATGATATCCAATTCGACGTCCCGATATGAGTCGCGTGCAATTTTCAGTTCGCGGACGAATTACTCGCTGAATTATTACGTATCTTCTCGTCAATAGGCGGCAGCGCCGCCTATCCATTGCGGCTTGATGCACTGAAAACGCACGAGGTATTTCATGCAAAATGCCACTCGGCTCGCATAATCGGCGTATAAACAATTATCGCAGTAATTACTCGGACCGCGTACAAACAGTCAATCAGCGTGTTTGTTATCCGATTATCGACCGCGACTAATGTGATCTTATTGAGCGGGCCGTGCGATCGATCGCCGGGCTTGGGCGAGATTATCGAAAACAACGAGGGATTGTCGTTTTAGCGCAGCCTCCCCCTCCCTCCACTCCCTCTAACCACTTCCATCGCCGTGCTGCCGAGCGGAACGTCGCTCTTCCGTTCCACTCGCGTGGTTTAATCGCTCCAAATTAACTCCCGACCTAACCGATCTTCCAGCCCGGCGTCTCCGGCGCGTCGCATCGGAGATTTCGTCGTTTAGCCGTAAAAAACTTCCATGCCGGGGGATTACCTTCGACTTCGAACGTCATCGACTGTACTGCACACGGCGAGATGCGATCTGCCTGTCGCGAAACGAGATACTCCGTAAATTTCTTGGTGCAAAATTTTAGTAGAGTAAAGTGGAGCGATCGGTGAGTCGCTCGAGTTCTCGAACACTTTTTTACTCACATAGAGCGAATCCTATTCTGAATCACCGGGTGAATTTGAGTTTGGCGAATTTGGATATTTCGGGTGAGATTCCACACCAAGAAATTCAGAGAGCATATGAAATCGGCGCGAACTTTGGAGTTCTAAAGGGCAACGTTCATTGCGGCTTGACAGCGGTTTATTGTCGCTCGACAGCGGTTTATTGTGTGGTTTGTTAATAACCATTATTTTGTGAACCGATACCAAACCACGATTGATCCGCTAAAGAATTATTATCGAGCCACAGTATGAACCACATCGAGCCAAAACGAACGCCCGGTCTGTTTTCTTGTCAAAACTTTCCCCAGTTAGAGAAACCCGGTCTTTCTCTTTAAAATTCTTGGAGCGAAATTTCACTTGAAAAAATATAGAGCGACCATCGAGCCACTTGAGTTCAAGTGATTTTTCATTCATACAGAGTGGGCTCTCCACTCTTAATCTCGTCGAGAGTGAATATTTTCACTCGAAATTGAACAGCGAATTTAATGTGCTTCGCCATCTCTCCAATCGACTGGAACATTCACTCATATGGAGTCAAAATCCATATAGAATATTGAGCAAAACATTCATTCTAGCGATTACGAGTGGCAGTATTTTTGCTAACGCTTCAAGTGAAAATACTGCTGCTTGTTTTAAAAGAGATCTCACTAATTTTGAGTGAGATTTCACTCCAAGAAATTTAGAGAATACATACCTCTACACACATAAAATAGTTCTCTTTTCTTCACGTAAATGTTTGCTTGGCAAGAATGTCGATTTAAAATTCTAGTAATTCGTATTCTAAAATTTTACTTATATGGGCAGAATATTATAATTTTTTTTCATGTAAATTCTTTTCTACTCTACTATGCTTCTAGTAGTGCAGGAATATACTGTCGGTTAGGTTTGTCTTGCTAAGAAGCATAGTAAATAAAATTTCGCCAGAAACGAAGCAAACTCCAGTTCCTAAAATATGAATAGCATATATGAAACCGATGGACAATAAATTGCTGCAGAATCTCGATCCGCTCCTTGGCTATAAAATTCTGCAGTGAGTTTTTGAAATTCTCTCCATATACTGATTCTTTTTTCTCTTTTATCCTTTTTTACTTTATTAATTCGTTATTACCCGTTAGTGCTTTGAACAATGAGTGTATTCGTCGATTAATTTGTAGTGGCGCGAAATAATTCACGGACAAGACGACGGACGTGAGAGAGAAACGGCGACGGTATCGGAATTTCATTTGTAGGGCCGGTAAATCTCCGCCGGCGCCAAGTGCATCGCGCGGCCGGACTCGCGATTATTTCTCGCGAAATCTTCGCGGCCGCGCTCGCTCGGGCTCTAATGAAGCCAAACCTTGTGCCATGCGCTTTCTTGCGATAGCGTAAACAGCTTATAGCGCACAGCCGTTCCGTCCGCGACGGGCGAGAAACAACGGAAGCAACGGCCAGCTTTTGGCAAGGTCTCGCCCGGTCTTCGCCGGAAACTTTTCCCTCGCCGTGCCGACGCCACCGGCACGTCGTCTCTGCCTGAGTTGCGAACTTCTCGATTACGCCGAGTGTGTCCCGCTTCTAACTGTTCAGCCGCCACTTTCATTGGCG